GGGGGATTAATCTAAGAATTTATATGCATATATGCATAAGCCATGGACAAAGACAATAGTGTGGAGAAGGCCTAGGGGGAGGGGTACAGGATGGACGGGATCAATGGGGGGAAAAGGGAGACAATTGTATTACTTTCAACAATAAAGATAAATTTAGGGGAGAGACAACAAGATGGCAGTGTAGGTAACCGCAATACCCGCCACCTCCCACAACCACATCAAAATTACAACTAAAATACAGAACAATCATCACTTAGAACCTCCTAAAATCTAGCTGAACAGAAGTCCTACAACAAGGGAACTGAAGAATCATCGAGACAGGTAGGAGGGGCAGAGACACGGGCAAATTGGGGCTAAATCACAGAGACAGGGCCTTGGTCCCACACTCTGAGCTGTGGTTTAAACCCAGGAGGGATATCTTGGCAGTGGAGGTTTCCCAGAGGAGCAGGGGTCCCAGCCCCACATCAGGCCCCCAGTCCAAGGGTTCCAGGGCTTGGGAGAGAAGTCCTCACAACTTTGGGCTGTGAAAACCAGCAGGGACTGTTGCTGAGGGACGCGGAGGGTGCAGGAGTCCTGGGCATCTCCTCTTAAAGGGCCCGCACACGGACTCACTCAGACGCACTCCCTCTGATCCCCAGCACTGAACAGCAGCTTGAAAGGAATCTGGGACATTAGGGCAGGAGCTAACTTTCCTGGAATCAGGGCCAGAGCTGGAGGGGTAGCTTTCTCCCAGACAGAGGAGCTGGCAGAGGCCATTGCTCCTTTGGCCAACTGTCCCCCTACAGAGCTGGCAGGCAGGTGCCATATTTGAATCTCCAGCAACCTGACTCAAACCTTTGGGCCCACCCTGGCGATTCCAGGAGGCCCCGCCCCTCCCCACCTGCAGCTCATCCAAGCCATTTCCAGTGGCTTTTCTATGCAAGTGGCCTCTCAAACCTCATGCTTAAGACTTTCCTAAAATCTCTCAAACAAGCAGCAGCTGGCCTCAGTATGTTCCATACCTCTTGATAAGAGGCATCAGGCCTGGCACAAGCAGCAGCCTGCATTGGTTCATAGCTTGGCCTCTCCTGGACGCCTCCAAGACCAGCAGAATTAGCAGCCATCTACAGTTTGCTGTGTAGCTCATGCTGGGTGGCCCTGGCCAAGGCACTGGCACGGGCTGACTTTGCACTTCCTGGGAGACCCCAGAGACAGTGCACCTGGAGGTCAAACTTGACCACACTGGATTACAACCCTACCACACCCACGAGTGACATACCCAAGGGGCACACTCAGTGAACATCAAAGCTTCACTGAAGTAAATCCTGCTTCATAGGGGTGTCTCCAGCACAGCAGCTCTTTGGCTGTAGTTGCAACTGGTCCTCAAAGCTGATTGGCCTGGGGGTCAATTCCTCCCAGGGACACCAATAGCAACCAAGGCTCAACTACAACAGGACAGTGCACACAGCCCACACAGGGGAGCATCTAGAAGGCCCAGCTCAAGTGACTGGGGAGGCTGAGCCACTGGACCCTACAGGACACCTACTACACAGAGCCACTCTACCAATTCCAGGAGACATAGCAGCTCTACCTAATACATAGAAACAAACACTTGGAAGCAGCCAAAATGTGGAGGCAAAGAAACATGTCACAAAGGAAAGAACAGAAGAAATCGCTGGAAAAGGACCTAAACGAAATAGAGCCAAGCAAGATACTAGATACAGAGTTCAAAATAATGGTTATAAGGATGCTCAAGGATCTTAATAAGACTATTAAAAAAAACTAGTGAGATGATCAATGACAAAGTACCAAACAGAAATGAAGAATAATTTACAGGGAATCAACAGTAGAGGACACTGAGAATCAAATAAGCATTTTGGAACATGGGGAAACAAAAAACACCCAACTAGAAGAGCAAAAACAAAAAAGAATCCAAAAGCATTTGACAAAATCTAGCAACCATTTCTGATAAAAACTCTCAGCAAAGTGGGAATAGAGGGACCATATCTCAACATAATAAAGGCCATACATGACAAACTTACAGCCAACATCATACTCAATGGGCAAAAACTAAAACCATTTCCCTTAAAAACAGGAATAAGACAGGGATGTCCACTTTTACCACTCTTACTCAGCACAGTATTGGAAATCCTTGCCACAGCCATCAGACAGGAAGAAAACATAAAAGGCATTCAAATTGGAAAGGAGGAAGTAAAACTCTCATTATAAGCAGATGCCATGATATTGTATATAGAAAAACCTTAAAAACTCCATCAAAGTATGACCAGATTTGATAAATGAATTCAGCAAGGTAGCTGGATACAAAATCAACATCTGGAAATCGGNTATTGTATATAGAAAAACCTTAAAAACTCCATCAAAGTATGACCAGATTTGATAAATGAATTCAGCAAGGTAGCTGGATACAAAATCAACATCTGGAAATCGGTGGCATTCTTATACACCAACAACGAACTTTCAGAGAGAGAAACTAAAAAAACAATACCATTTACCATTGCAACTAAAAATATAAGATACCTAGGAATAAACTTAATCAAGGATGTAAAAGACCTGTACTTGGAAAACTAGGGGACACTGAAAAAAGAAATAGAGGAAGATAGAAACAAGTGGAAGACTATACCATGCTCATGGATTAGAAGAATTAATATCATTAAAATGTCCAACAACCCAAAGCAATCTATAAAGTCAATGCAATTCCTATTAAAATATCAACAGCATATTTCACAGAACTAGAACAAACATTTCAAAAATTTATGTGGAACCAAAAAAGACCCTGAATAGCTGCAGACATCTTGAGAAAAAAGAACAGAATAGGAGTGATCACTTTACCAGATATCAAAGTGTACTAAAAAGCCATTGTAATAAAAACAGCCTGGTATTGGTATAACAGACATATAGACCAATGGAACAGAACAGAGACCCCAGAAATAGACCCAAATCATTATGGTCAGTTAATATTTGACAAAGGAGGCAAGAGCATACAATGGAGAAAAGATAGCTTCTTCAATAAATGATGCTGGGAAAATTAAATAGGTACATGCAAAAAAAAGAAACTAGACAACCAACTTTCACCATACACAAAAATAAACTCAAAATGGATTAAAGACTTAAATGTAAGTCGCAAACCATAAAAATCCTGAAAAACATAGGCAGTAAAGTCACAGACATCTTACATAGTGGAATTTTCACAGATACATCTCCTAGGGCAAGAGAAACAAAGGCAAAAATAAATGACCAGCACTATATCAAACTGAAAGCTTCTGCAGAGAAAAAGAAATCAGCCTCAAAATACAAAGGAACCCCATGGTATGGGAGAACATATTTGCCAAGGATGTATCTGATAAGGGGCTAATTCCTATTTTANATCTCCTAGGGCAAGAGAAACAAAGGCAAAAATAAATGACCAGCACTATATCAAACTGAAAGCTTCTGCAGAGAAAAAGAAATCAGCCTCAAAATACAAAGGAACCCCATGGTATGGGAGAACATATTTGCCAAGGATGTATCTGATAAGGGGCTAATTCTTATTTTATTTTTTTTAAATTTATCTTTATTGATTTCAGAGGGAGGAAAGGAGAGGGAGAGAGAGAGACAGAAACATCAGTGATGAGAGAGCCATTGATCAGCTGCAGCTCGCAACCCGGGCATGTGCCCTGACCGGGAACGGAACCCCGATCGCCTGGATCCTAGGTAGACGCTCAACTGCTGAGCCACGCCCGGCTGGGCAGGGGCTAATTTCTAAAGTGTACAAAGAACTCATACTACTCAGCAAGAGGAAGACAAACAATCCAATTAAAAATGGGCAAAGGACCTCAATAGACACTTCTCCAAAGAAGACATACAGATGGCCAAGAGACATATGAAAAAATGCTCAACATCACTAATCATCATAGATATGCAAATTAAAACCACAATGAGGTATCACTTCACACCTGTCAGAATGGCTGCCATCAACAAATCAACAAATGACATGTACTGGCGAGGATGTGGAGAAAGAGGAACCCTGGTACACTGCTGGGAATGCACACTGGTGCAGCCACTATGGAAAACAGTATGGAGGTTCCTCAAAAAATTAAAAATGGAACTGACTTTTGACCAGTGATCCCACTTCTAGGAATATATCCTAAGAATCCTAAAACACTGATCAGAAAGAATATATGCACCCCTATGTTCATAGCAGCACAATTTACAATAGCTAAGATCTGGAAACAGTCCAAGTCCCCATCAGGAGATGAGTGGATAAAAAAGCTGTGGGACATTTATACCATGGAATACTATGCAGCTGTAAAGAAGAAGGATCTCGTACCATTTGGGACAGTATGGATGGACCTGGAGAATATTATGCCAAGTGAAATAAGCCAGGCAGAGAAAGACAAACATCACATGATCTCACTTATATGTGGACTCCAAAGAACTTAATGAGCTGATGAACAGAAATGATTCAATGACATGGAAGCATGGGTCATACTGACGAATCTCAGAGGGATGGAGGAGGGCGAGTGGGTGGAGAGAGAGAGAATAACCAAAGAACTTATATGCATATATGCACAACCCAAGGTTATGGACAATGGTGTGGAGTGGGACTGGGGAGGGGGTTGGGATGGAGTAGAATGGGTCATTGGGGAGCAAAAGGGGCATCAGTAATATTTTGAACAATTTAAAAAAAAGAAAAAAAGGAAGGAAGGAGAATCCAGAAATATGACAATAGTGCAAGGAGTCTCTGGGACAACTTCAAGTGGCCCAATATTTGTATTATGGCGGTGCCAGAAGGAGAGGAAAGAAAGCAAGAAATTGAAAACTCACTTGAAAAAATAATGACAGAAACCATCCCCTACCTGGTGAAAGAACTAGACTTACAAGTCCAGGAAGCACAGAGAGTCCCAAACAAGAGGAACCCAAAGAGGCCCACAGCAAGATACATCATAATTAAAATGCCAACGGTTAAAGACAAAGAGAGAATCTTAAAAGCAGCAAGAGAAAAGCAGTTAGCTACCTACAAGTAGCACCCATACAACTGTCAGCTGATTTCTCAACAGAAACTTTGCAGGCCAGAAGGGAGTGGCAAGAAATATTCAAAGTGATGAAAAGCAAGGACCTACAAGCAAGATTACTCTACCCAGCAAAGCTATCATTTAGAATTGAAGGTCAAATAAAGAGCTTCTCAGACAAGGAAAAGCTAAAGGAGTTCATCACCACCAGACCAGTACTGCATAAAATGTTGAAGGGTCTTCTTTAAGAAGAAGCTAATGAACAAAAGAATCTGACAAACTAAATAGACCCAGAGACATCAAAGCATGCAACAGACGATCATATTTCAGAGGGAAAAGGGAAGGGGGTTGAGGGTGGGAAGAGATTAACCAAAGAAGTTATATGCATATATGCATAACCCATGGACACAGTCAATAATGGGGTGAAGGCCTGGGGAGG